TTACAAAGCCAGCAAGAATTCAATCACCAGGATGTCACCCATGTCTTAGGCCAAAAGATAATAAATCTCTGCCCATGACGCAGCCCTTCCGGTCCCTTATCATGGCAGAATGGCTCCACCGCCACAGCTGGACTCTCATGCAGCTGCCACAGAGCCCTGGTAACATGGGCGCTGCTTTGAAATCCATTACCCGTCACATCTGCACAGAGGCTAACAGCTCCAGAGCCTTCCAGGTCACGTTCTATTAAGCATCAAGATCCCCGTCTAGACAGGCAGCGCTCTCCAATGGTCAAGGTGCCAGACTGGGTTCTAAGAGATCAAGGTCCTACCCTAGCTCTGCCCCAACTTGTGTTATGGATTAACCTGGAAAAGGTCACATATTTTACACTGGTAAGCCTTTGCACCCTGTGTGCCTCAGTTTTCCCATCTCTAAAGGCAGGAAGAACAGCACTTACCCAGCTCAGTAAAGCACACAGCGATCCACAGCTGAGCCCTACCCAGATGCTAACTACACAATGGCATGGAGTCAGAACGAGGTTTTTGCCCTCCTCTACAGCCATGAAACCCCATTGCATGGAAATCAGCCCAGTGGGTCTAGGGTAAGTCTTAGGTTTGGCATTTGAAATAAACCTGAGCCTATCGTCATACTAGATCCACAGCTCTGCCTTGTGCCTCGCTGATTGCATCTCCCTCAAGGAGCTGCTGGCTGAGCGGCTCCAGGCACTGCAGCTGTTAAGGAAGATCACTCGGTGTGCTTGTAACATGCCCCTGGCTGACTGAGCTCCAAGCCCACCCACCCACCCAGGGCTGCCTTCCCCACCCTGATAGCCGCTTACCCTGGCTTGAAGAGGGCTGCCAGCGAAGGACGGGCGCAGGCATCACTCAGAGACCCAGAGCAGCGTGTGTCGAGGGGAAATGCTTAACGCCCCTTTCAAAGCCCGACTGGGTCTCTGCGCTACCAGCAATAATTCAGGAAGCCTCCCTGCCAGTGTACAAGCAAGAGAAGAAGGCGGAAGAGAAGTTGTGGTTTGGAGAGAACACGTGACGCCGCTCCCAGAAAGAGTGCATCACAGCCGAAAAGGAGAATCGCCACCAGGCCCGCAGGCCGGCTTTTAATGGATGCTTCACTAGCTGGGGAGCCAGCAAGTAAAGGGCATCTCAGACTCACGCTGGGCTTAGCAGCATGATAAACCTTACCCAGAGCAATGGCAGAGGCAGGAGACGATGGAAACCCTGCAGCTGAGCCCCTGTTAAATGGCCCAGAAGAGTCAGAATTCGAGGGGGTAAACACATTACAAAGTCAGCTGCAAGGCTGCTCCAACTGGGCAACGCCTCGGCCTCTCCTTGCCCGGGGCAGACGGAGGCAGCGTCTCACTCCTCCTAGTCGGAACGGTACGTACGTTGCTGGCACCAGACCATCCCTACACACTATGTACAGGGTGGCCTGTGGGCGCTCTTAGTTTCTTGCCATTTACTGGTACTTGCAGCATTCCCTGGGCTTCGAATGGGGAACGAGGGCAAGTTTTGCAGTGGCCGTTGAAATGCAGCAGGTAAATCTTTACCGTTAAGGGCTCTCCGAGTCCTGCCTGGTTGGATTCATGGCAACGAAGGGAACCTGGCTTTGAAAAGCAGAAGGGGAAAACAATGAACCCAATGATGTGTTTTAAAACTCCCGCTCAGGACCCGCAGCAGAGTCAGTCTCCAGGCTTCCCAACAAGAACAGCTGGCCAGCAGCAGGCTACCCGATTGACTTCGCCACCTGACTGGTCAGGAAGGGCAACTGGCTGGCTGCTGGCTGGAACAGCAGGAGCCGGTAGGACACAGGCGGTGCCGTCCCTTCCCCACTCCACACCCACCTTCCTCCTTTGTCCCTGATTTCACACATCTGAGGCTGGACCAGCAGCATCATCCCCAAGCTGAATGAGGAACTGAAATCCAGGCATTTGGAAAGTGCTTCAGCACCAGGCTTCCTCTGTGCACGCCCCGCTCAGTTACTGCGGCACAAAGCTGAGGATTTCCCAGGGCTTGGGGGGAAGGCTGAGGCCAGGGACGAGCTAGAGTTAAAGCCTGTTGCTGAGATCAGACCAACAAGAGTGCGGTTAAGACTGGAACTGGGAGGGGATCTGCCACAGACACAGTGTGTGACCTTTGGCAAGTCCCTTTACCTCTTTCTTCACGATTTGTAACCTGAGTATATTACTGCACCTAGCACAATGGGGCCCTTCAGGTGTTACTCAGAATAGAAAAAACAGGGAAAGGGGACAATCCTGGAGAGCAGCTAGGAAAACACTGCATTTGCCTGGTTGGTGGTACCTAGGCTGCGCAATTAGTAACATTCACCCTCAAGCTGGAACTTGCAGGACACAAGGAAGCTGGGGAATTGGGACTCTTAATAGATTTGAAAGTGAGGCCAAAAATGGTGTCAGTAGCTGGGTGCATGGAGTTCCTCTATGGAGCAGGGCACTGCATTTAGGAGGACTGGCCTGTTTGGAGGGGCCTCTCTTTTTAGAATATCTAAAAAATGGTTTCCATATGGATCACACATCCGGCATGTACCACCCCCCTGCAATTGGAAGGGGCAGATCTATACACCCCAGGAAAAGGAGATCGTCCAAAGCTCACGCCCTGCACTGAGCATCCCATGTTGCCCTCAGCTGACCAGATGTCCTGATTTTATAGGGACAGTCCCAATTTTCAGGGCTGTGTCTTACACAGGCGCCTATTACCACCCACCCCAGTTTTCCACACTTGCTGTCTAATCATTCTAGTTGCCCTCTTGGGAAGGCTGGAGGGCTGGATTAGTGTTATTGGTATTTTGAGTTGTTGGGGTTTTTTTGGGGGGGAGGGGTGGGGGGTGAGATATGCCCCATAAAAAGCTGGCATGGCTAATGTAGCTACTGTAATGATGGGGGAACCTCAGATAGGCTTGGGTGTTGCCTTTCTCACATCCGAGACGAGCATAGTGGAGAGATAAGCAGCAGTTCATTAGCTGGAAGAGGCTCTCTGGTTTTGACTGTTCTAAACAGTCTATTTAACCACATCACAACAGCAGAAGCAAACAGCAAGTTGGCAAGAAAAAGATGAAGGAAGGTCACAGCTGGTTGCCCTGCCCATCCAGAAACAAATCCATCTCTGGGGTATGTTTCCAATGCAACACTAAGCAGGCAAGGACAATTTAGCTCCTGCTGGAACTTTAAGAAGTGCCCATACATCACTTCCCAAAATTATGTTTGGGTCAAATCAAGAAGTTTCAAACCTTTGCATGTCGGACAAAACCAGAAAGGTTAAGGCATAAAATGAGTTGCAGCTAGCAGGGAACATAAAAGGCAATTAGAGGAGGTTCTTTAAATACATTAGGAGCAAGAGAAAGACCAAGCAGAAGGTAGGTCTACTTCCAAGGGAGAGCTAATAACTGATGACATCAAGAAGACCGAAGTACTTAATGCATATTTTGCTTCAGTCTTTTCCATAAAGGTTAATGGTGACCAGATACTCAACAGTGGGCTCCCACAGGGTCTGAGTCTGGTACTATTCAATAGTTTCATTAATGACTCGGTTAACGGAATAAAGCGCATGCTTCTAAAACGTGCAGACGACACCAAGCTGGGAAGAGTTGCAAGCACTTTGAAGGGCAGAATTAGAATTCAAAATGACCAAATCAGAATTGGACTGAAATCAGTAAGATTAAATTTAAAGACAAGTGCAAAGTATTCCACTGAGGAAGGAAAAATCAAATGCACGACTACAAAACAGGGACTACCTGGGGAGGTGGTGGTACTGCTGAAAAGGATCTGGGGACTACAGGTGGATCACAAACCGAATACGAGTCAGCAGCGTGATGCAGTTGTGAAAAAGGCTAATGTTATTCTGGGGTGTCTTAACAGGAGCATTCTACGTAAGGCTCTGCTCGGTGGTGGTGAGGCCTCACCTGGAGCACGGTGTCCAGTTCTGAGCACCAAATGCGGACAAACGGGAGAGAGTCCAGAGGAGAGCAACAAACTTGATCAAAGGTTTAGAAAACCTGCCCTATTAAAAAAACGGGCATGATTAAGTCTTGAGAGAAGTAGCCTAAGTACGGGACCTGAGAACAATCTTCAATTATGTTACAGGCTCTGAAGATGGGACAAGAAGTGATGGGCTTAATCTGCAGCAAGGGAGATTTAGGTTAGATATTAGGAAAAGCTTTCTAACGCTAAGGCTAGCTAAGTTCTGGAACAGGCGTCCAGAGTAGGTTGTGGAATGGTCGTCATGGGAGGTGTTTAAGAACAGGCTGGACAAACACCTGTCAGCACTGGCCTAGGTTTCCATGGTCTTGCCTCATCACGAGAGGCTGGACACGACTTCTCGAGGTCGCTTCCAGCCCGACGTTTCCATGACAGTAGAGCGGCCTCTCCTCGTGCGGACTTCCTTATGACACTTGGCCTTTCTACCGCCCCTCCCCATGACTAGCTCAACACCCTTCGCCGGCATTCTCATTCAGAGCTTCAGTGATGGAGGCATCACCCCCATCTTACAAAGGCTGGCACCGACAGACAGCTGTCAAGTGCCCCATGCCTGTGGCACAACCTGAAACAGAACCCAGGAGTCCGGACCCCTAGCTCCCTGCTTCACCCAGCAGGACCCAGCCTGCTCCAGCACTCAGCTGTGAACAGATTTCCCATTAGTTTCTGAACTCCTTCTGCCCACCCTGGATTTACTTAGTGTGAAACTTGAGCCCTCCAGACATGGCGCAGCTGTGCAGAGGCCAAGCTCTTGGGGAACAGCTGCCACACTGAAAGAGGACCTGCATCTGCTTTAAAGAATTTGGGGTTCTGCACAAACGAGGAGTGTCCAGCGTTAACAAGGTTCCATATTGTCCCTGGCACATCGTTCTCCAACCTGGGAGGAACACAGGCCTTTACGAGTCAGCAGGGCTGGCAGTTGCAACACAAGGCTTGCTCAGGGTATCAGAGTGGAGGAAGTGCACAGACACAGTTGTGAAACGCTTTGCTGCAACTTACTGTAAATTCCAGGGTCCTTGGAGAACAAAGCCAGCAGTGAGTGCCAGTACGTTTGCTAAACGGCAGCTGCTATCCTGAAAATATACAACTGGCTCCCTGTTGTAGACTTTTCCTTCAAGTTGAGATTTTCATAGCCGACGTGGGAACCTAGCCCCACAACTTCCAACCCCAGCCTTGAACTTTGACATTGCCAGGTTTCTCTTCTCCCTGTGGTAAATTTCAAACAGATTTAAATTGGGAAATAGGTAGTAGACAGCACATTGCGTCCTAGCTCTACGCAACAAAAGCCAGAGTGGGCCGATTCTGTTCTCCTTTCTCTTCACACTCACTGTTCTGCCGACCTTGGAAGGTGTCACCAATCCAGCTGAGCCAGCAGTAATACAGTGGGGATTGTGTAAATGGAAAAACACCATGCAGCTTACTTCAGTTAAAGGACGTTGTTGGGCAGTTCACATCCAACATGAGCTTTGCTTTCCCTCCCAGCCTCTTCTCTCAGGAGACTCCTGGACAAGAAGGGAAGGAAATGGGGGGAAATCCCAGTGGGCTGGCTCCTCCCACCCTCATCCCTGGAATGGTTTTGTTTACAGCTGTATCAATATGATTTAATACTGATCATGTAATTTAACAGGCCAGTCGCACCTTGAGGTGCAGGGTCCATCTTTCTATCATGGCAGCCATCTATCTAGGTCCCTGTACTGTGCCCATCACCACCGAATTTGAGCAGCTCCCTCATGGTAAGCGCTCCACCATGACATGGAAACCCACACATGAAACATAAGACAGATCCACAGGAGTGCTTCTGGTATCCGTGGAAACAGTTCCCCAGAAATACATGCTTCCAAAATAGGATTTTGCCACAAGTCGACTTTGCTCGGTGGTGATGAATATTCAGAGGGGAACTGATGCATGGCACATTGGCAGGGCCACAGGGTGGGAAGAGTTAAGCCCGTCGGCATGGATTCTGTTACAGGGGAACAGTTTCCTCCATCTCTTGGCACAGTAAGTCTAAGAATTAGGGCAGTCAAGAGATTAAAAAAATTAATCACGATTAATCATGCCATTAATCGCACTGTTAATATAGAATCCCATTTATTTAAATATTTTTTGATGTTTTCTACATTTTCAAATATATTGATTTCAATTACAACAGAATACAAAGTGCACAATGCTCACTTTATATTTGAGTACAAGTATTTGCACTGTAAAAAACAAAAGAAATAGTATTTCAATTCACCTAATACAAGTACTGTAGTGAAATCTCTATCAAGAAAGATGAACTGACAAATGTAGAATTATGTACAAAAAAATAACTACATTCAAAAATAAAAACAATGTAAAATTTTAGAGCCTGCAAGTCCACTCAGTCTTACTTTTTGTTCAGCCAATCGCTCAGACAAACAAGTTTGTTTACATTTGCAGGAGATAATGCTGCCCGCTTCTTGTTTACGTCATCTGAAAGCGAGAATAGGTGTCGCAAGATATTTACGTGCCAGATGCGCTAAAGATTCACATGTCCCTTGATGCTTCAACCACCATTCCAGGGAACAAGCGTCCATGCTGATGACTGGTTCTGCTCAACAACAATCCAAAGCAGAGTGGACCGATGCATGTTCATTTTCATCATTTGAGTCAGATGCCACCAGAAGAAGGTTGATTTTCTTTTTTGGTGGTTTGGGTTCTGTAGTTTCTGCATCAGTGTTTTGCTCTTTTAAGACTTCTAAAAGCATGCTCCACATCTCGTCCCTCTCAGATTTTGGAAGGCACTTCAGATTCTTAAACTTTGGATTGAGTGTTGTAGCTATCTTTAGAAATCTCACATTGGTATCTTCTTTGTGTTTTGTCAAATCTGCAGTGAAAGTGTTCTTAAAATGAACCAGTGCTGGGTCATCATCCGAGACTGCTATAACATGAAATATATGGCAGAATGTGGGTAAAACAGAGCAGGGGACATACAATTCTCTCTCAAGGAGTTCAGTCACAAATTTAATTGATGCATTTTTTTTTTTTTAACAAGCGTCATTAGCATAGAAGCATGTCCTCTGGAATGGTGGCCGAAGCATGAAGGGGCATACAAATGTTTAGCATATCTGGCATGTAAATACCTTGCAATGCCAGTTACAAAGTCCCATGCAAACTTCTTTTTTCACTTTCTGGTGACATTGTACATAAGAAGAGGGCAGCATTATTGCCTATAAATGTAAACAAACTTGTTTGTCTTAGCGATTGGTGAACAAGAAGTAGGACTGAGTGGACATGTAGGCTCTGAAGTTTTACATTGTTTTGTTTTTGAGTGGAGTTAGGTAACAAAAAGTATTTACATTTGTAAGTTGCACTTTAACAAAACTTGCACTGCAGTACTTGTATGAGGTGAACTGAAAAATACTAGCTTACCATTTTTACAGTGCAAATATTTGTAATCAAAAATATACACTTTGATTTGAATTACAACACAGAATACAATATATATGAAAAAGAAAAACATCCAAAATATTTAATAAAATTCAATTGATAACAGTGCAATTAAAACTGATTAATCGCAATTAATGTTTTTAATTGCAATTTCTTTTTTTGAGTTAATCGCGTGAGTTAACTGTGATTAATTGACAGACCTACTAAGAATCACTCTCTCTGGCATCTGTTAAGCTCTGCAGAGCGACATGGAGAAAGACATGACAGCAGCATGCAGGGTCAGGTTGGATTCCACCCCCTCACCTACCCCGGCTTCTCAGCTCAGCCAGGAAACTGCCACATGGGAAAGTTGAAATTTGCCCCTAAACTTTGGGGAAGCCACCGGTTTGGCTGGAGTGAAATTGCCTGGTGAGAGTGGGGAGAAGCTGGGCCCACTGGCACAAACAGAGAAACTCTGCCTTGGAACAAACAGACGAGATACCAAAGTCTCAGCTGGCACAGGCAAACCCTGGAGCATGGAGACTGGCTGAGGTTTCACCCAGCGCAGCTGGCTGAATGCTTCTTGCACCCAGCTGCAGCAGCCTGTGGGGGGACGTAGGGGTACCTCACTGGGGGAGGGCAAAAGGAGCTGAGGGTCACCTGACAATGTATGACTCTGCCATGTGGCTGGATAACCCAAATCCACATACTGTATTTGTAAAGCTTGTAAAACAGTCACCCCAGTCTTAACCTGTAGAATTACAGAATCTATCACCTTTGATTTGTCTCCACCCGGTCCAGGTTTGTTAGGGGCTATAGAGAAGTTAGAACATGGTTTGTTCTAAGCAGCCTCTTGCTCCCAAATCCTCCAGGCTGGGCAGCTTCTCAACAGCTGCAGATTGTGAAGATGGCCCCTGCAGTAAATCACACAGCGGAGTGGCCAGGCTCTGCAGACGGTCTGCCCTGGCCACCACACTGCAGTCTGCAGGCAGACAGGCGCTAAGCCAAGTCAGGCACAAAAACTGAAGGAAGAGACTCCAGGGGGAAGACATTGCGTGGCTCTTTGCATCCCCAGAGTAACTCCCAGCAAGGAATGCCACAGCTATTTGAACTTTCCTTTGATCAAGTATCTGAAAGGTGCTGGGGTAGTGGCAGCCCCCGAGAACATGATGCTCTGCCTACACAAGGTGCATAGGGTAAGAATCCCTATTGGGCTCTACCATCGTGTCTACTCCGTACTCTGGAGAGCCAAGGGAGTCTGCATGGGCTGTATGCCATCCTGGCGTGGCAGGATGTGTGGTGCACACACTTATTTGCTGCTAGGAACTGGATTGAGAAACAAGCCATTTCACAAAAGCCTCTAAGCAGCCGTGGGACGGGTACAATTTTCAGTCGCTGCTGATGTGGCTTGGATTCAAATGAGCAAGCCGGAGGTGAACAGCTCCAGGCTCCAATACCCACTCCTCAGCCACCTACCCACAGATATTGGAGGGCAAAGCTCCTTTCGAGAAGTGTCAGTTCTGCACAGCTGGAAGTTGACTGGAAATGAAAGGCCTTCGTGGCCTGCTTGGAAAAAGGGAATGTTTGAAATACATGAAAATACAAAAGCAGTTTGTGAGTTCTGGGCTTCTTTCCAAGAGCGTCAAACTAAAGGAAGGACCAAGATTCTCTCATAAATGGCTGCGGGTAAAATTTTCAAATGTGCCTCAGTCCCATTGCAAGTCAGCAGGGCTCAGATTCAGTGCCTAGGTCACTTTTGAAGACGGGACTCAGGCACATTTGTGAAAGTTTCACCCTGTCTATTGTGCATCTAGACTATTGCATCCTCCGCTAGTTTACAAAAATCCTAACCCCAGCCAGAAATAAAACACTGGCTGCTCCCTACCAGCTCAGGTTGCTGACACGCATTCAAATGTAATTGAGCAGCGCAGAATGCCACAGGAACAAGGTGTCAAAGAAAAACAACGGACATTGGAACTTTGTAATCAATGATTTTATCTTTGAAAATGGAAGCAAATATTTGGACAGGGTACTATGGCTGCTCTATAAGAGCGCATCTCTCAAATACTTCGCTGGTTCTCTTCTGGGATAGCACGGCTAAAAAAAGCTTTAGGCACTGACTCCGTTTGAGCCTGGCGAGGCATCATCCGTTCATTTAAATAAAATACAAGCTACAAAACTAAAAAACCACGGAGGACTTTCCCCCCCGCCCCCTTCTCTTCAAACCATCACGCTACCTTACACCAGGGTTGGTTGGGCAGTTAAATCTGGCATTTCAGGAACTTCATTCCCTCAGGTTAGAAATACAAAGACCCCCAGCACACAGACTTGACGCCACACATACAAATTAACAAGGAGATCGCTACCCAGGGGATTTTGTTTGCCAAAATCCACCCCACCCCACCAGCCATTGATCGCAGTACAAAAAACACCAAACATTCAAATACCCCAGAATTGTCTAGGCTGCAAACTCCATTTTCAACGCACAATGCCAAGAACATTGGCTCGCTGCCTTAAATAACCCAGAGCTGGCTTTATGAAGCTTTCATCCTGTGACACTACACGTTTTCTGTCCTCTCATCAATTTCTTATGCTTCACCTGCTAAAAGTTCACTTAACTGTCCCAATGGTACGACTTCACCTTAGGTCAGGAACACTCACGTCTTCCAGAACAAGAGACTCCTTCATCGTAAGTTTTGAACATGCAAATACAAGAAAATGGAGAACTTAAGAAATTCTAGCTAAACTACTTGAAGAGAAATTCAGCACTCACTCTTTTGCCCAGATGAAGGAATGTGAACCTGTCCCATGCAAAGGCAGCCTCTTGTCTGGCACTTCCCTCATTAATTGGGAAAGCAGCCCTCGTGTGCGTGTGTGTCTGACGGGCATATGCATATATATATATATATATATATATATATATTAAGCTGCAGTGAGGTGATTCAAGGATCAAACCTCAGGTGGAAAAGGGTATTTTAGGCTTATCAGCTGGTTCACTGCTCTGGCCCCCAGACAGGTTTTAACTGCACTTGTGTTTGATCAGCCCCTCCCCTGGTGCCAAGGCAGGTTATACTGGCCTGGGTATGGCTCAAACGAAGGTCAACACGCATCACAGCAAACTGTGCAGACTACCAGAGGTCTAGCACCCTTTGCCCCAACAGGTGCTGAAGCTGCTCACCCCTGCAGGTAAATCCTTTGCAAGCCTGATCAGGGCCCACCTGGGAAGCTGCGTTTGTCACCAAACGCTGCTCCCTCTCATAACGCAGACCCTCATGGTAAGCAGACGTTCACTGGGCTTAGGCAGTCACTGGACACTCGGAGCCCCACACCCAAGTCAGCATGTTGGCTTTGGATTAACATGCACTTACACCGAGTCTTTCACCTGGGGATCTCAAAGGTTTCTGAGACCAGGGCAGAAAAGCTGGGACTGCAATGGGACTGGAGATAAAGGTTACTTATATTTCAGGAAATCTTGTGTTCCCTGGGATGGGATTTTATTATAGCTGGTGGGGTTACCAGGAGTGAGAGAGAGAGGGAGGATAGGTATTGGAGGGGTTTTATTTCTGGAGACCTGTCATTGTAAAGTTACCCAACTGCTTCTAATGCTGCTTTGAAAGCCATACTTGGGCTGGAACTTCTCAGAATCAAAAATGGGGGCAGAAATAGTTTAAGCTCACAAATTTAAGAGCTTCTTTGCAAAGCAAAGGAGCCTGGTCTTGCAGCATTTAATACAGACACAAAAATGTACAGCTAGGCAAAGGACTGGAATAGACATAATGGAAAACTTGGCTACATGCTCATGTCCTGCTTGCTTGCAAATCAGAATTCTGGCCATTCATCTTCGCTATCTCATCTCGCTGCGCACCCTTACACCTTATGTTAGCTGATAAACAGAATACATGTCTGCGGTGTAAAAATATTTGGCCTTTAAAAAACAAAATGCCCATTCTGACAATGTTAGAATAATCCAAAGCACAGGGTGTTGGAATGAGGACAGCATGACTCCAGGACAAGGGTTCAGTCTCTCGAATGTAGAAGGGGAAGAGAGTTATGTGGTGACATGAGTCACTTCACTCACAACCAAGTTTTTTAGCGAGGTGCTGATGGTGACTGGGACACTGTTAAAAAGGCAGTAAAGTCAACTCACATGGGTTTATGGGAGGGTCTCTATAAACTGCTTTGTCCACACTGCAAATGGAACGGATCAGATTGTTCAAAGATGAAGATTTATACAAAATAGCCTCATTTTGTTCTCCACACAGTATAAACACACACATGCACAGCCACACCCCAACCTCGACACACTCACACAGTGCTGTTCCTTTAGATTTAAAACACAAATACTGCAAAATGCCAAATAGGAAAAATAAAAGGCTACTTTTTTGTGTGTGGCAACTTTTAAAAAAAAATGGTTAAGAACAATGTGGTGTTGGTCCCTAAGGAGACTTGGGCACAACACAAAGTCAGAATAGTTTGTTTTCAAAAATTCATAACATCTGGAAACAAATTGTAAAAGTAGCACTCAGGCTTTTGACTTAATTTTGACCAAGTCATGTAACACATTAAAACATCAGAAAAATCTTTCACTAAAAAGCTTGGCTTTTAATCATCGGCTTTCGCTGAAGTTAATTTAGGAGAATAAAAAGTTCTTATTGGAATGCTGCACGCTGCTGCTTGCCGAACTTCTGAAATGGAATGTCTTCTTGAGTGCAATGCCTGCCCAGCCCTGCTCCAGCTTAAAGTTCTGCTCCCTTTGCTCTCAAACCGTCATCTTCGCCATCTGCTGTTCTAACTTGGAAATGCGCTCATCTTGATTGGAGATTGTGTCTCTTATAGATTTAAGCTCTTTCAAAATCTCATCCAATTTGGCTTCGTTTTGCTGGAACCAAACAAAAAACAAAACCAGAATTCATTAAAAATTGGCCTGGAAGGAGCAATTCTGCATATTCAAGTTTGAGGTTTCCAAAGCAAACGTGTTCCAACACAAAGGGAGATTCTTACAGATAAACCAGCTGAGATGGCTGGGAATCATGTGCTCTTGAGTGCTACCATGAAGCTTCTGACACAGGGTAACATGCTAATGGCACAGCAGCGTTTCTAATGGAGTTAATGCGAATGTAAAGGGTACACTGGGCCATGGTTTGCTTTTTAATGGAGTTTATGTTCTCCTTTATTAATAGCCATCAGTTCAATGGCCCAATACACTGAATCTGCTCTTATAACCAACGCTATTAGAGCACCTGTCAGCCAGTATCACCAGAGCACAAGGCATTTCACACCCTCCTTCTCAGCAGTCCACTCTGCCAGGGTTATCCAGTCTGATTTGCTGTGTTTGGTTTTAGACAAATGATGGGCTCATGAATTAGGATCCAAAGTTCCTCTGTTAACCAGCTGCTTTCTTTGAATTACATACGAAAGGCAGATTGCTGTGGCCGCCACCCCTGGAACGAGTTCCCAGTGTGGGAACAGGACTTTTAGTGTCACAAGCCATTTCAAACACTTCCAGTGCCTAACAGCACAAAACCATTCCTCCCATTGCAGCTCTGGGCTGAGGGAATGTAAATCCCCCACATACGTGTGTGACCAGATCACCAGGCCTAGCACACATTTGTGCAAAAGGTTCACAGGGCACTTCAATAGCTACAAGTGATCTTAGACTTACCTCTTGTCCGGGAAACCACATACCCTAGTAGCACCTGGGCCCTACGTCCATGCTAGCTAGCTAAGCTGTTACTACAGGGATGGGCCCAGTGTAACGAGGGCATTTGGTTTTTTACTGAGTCAGAGGGTAGAGCAGCCCTGCCTGAGACTCCCTGATGGCCTGTGAGATGTTACTCACAATATTTGAGGTGTCTGCTGCTTTCTTTGGGGTGTTAATGAGATCGCTCTTCTTGTTTGCTGCAGGCTTGTTGTCCAATATGTTCTTTTTGACCACCTTGAGATCCCTGTTCTTGCCTGGAATGTACCCATGTTTCAAAGAAATGAGAATGGGATCAGCATTCTTCCCCTCAAACCACTCTTCAGCTTCCAGAGCTGCTTCTGGGCCAGCCGTATCGGGATACAGGTCATCTTGGAAAAGGTCAGACTAGAAGTCAGAAGGAATTGATTAGTAACATGCTTTGGGCTGGAAGGCGCTATATAACTTCCACCGCGTAACTGCAGGGAGCACCTCACCTTTCGGGGGACAGTCATGATAATGGGCTCGCACTTCCGCTCGTGAAGTTTGAAGAACCTTTCAAAAAGAAAAAGCACAACTTAGTGGGAGCAAATGCCAGTGGCACATGAAAGCTGGGCTTCTTTCCTCTGTTCACCCAAATGGATACTAGTGGACAAGTGAGAATGATTAAGAGGTTTCAGCTGGGTAATTTCTCCCCCCCCCCATTACACCCAGCAGTTGAAGGGGCTTTTCTAAGGGCTGGTGAAAACGACCCAGCTTTGTGCGCCAATGCTTCTATACCTTTAATGACTGGGTGGACTGAAGGGCAGCCTGTGCGAAGAGAACAGCACATGGAAACAAGATTCTTTAGGCAGTCTTCAGTCTGGCCTGACGATCTCTCAGCATGTCACAGAGTGCTGCCGAGACTATGGCGATGAGCACTATACAGATATCGTCTACACGCACTGTATCTTTGGTCACCAGGCTGCTGCATTACACACTGCCTATCTCCATCCCCATCTTCCACCTCTACTCAGTATTTTGAGCTAGAAGACCATCACCAATTAAACCCTTACAGTGGGTGCCTCTTCCTTGTCGTGGGATGTTTACCTGGCCTGGCTTTCGCTGGCAGTTTTCAGTCATGTCAGCAATCTTTGGTTAAGACAGTGCTGCTGTACTGTTCTCCAAGAGTCCGAAATTGTTTCTATCTAAGTTTATGAAGCAGCATTGTGCAGCCTGGAAGGAGATTAATGCTAGACCATCAAAGAGATATCCTCTTAATATTAAACCCTGTAGTAAACCAGGCTTATGTCCGACCCAATATAGATCAGAACTGCCTAGATGGAACACACTTGGTTTTAGCAAGGCTGATTCCAGCAGCTTGCTGTGTCAGATACTGTTCATCAGTCTGTTACGGTCTCAGCCGAAACACTGATCCATTTTCAGTTCAGATCGTATTATCCCTAGCAGACGTATTAGTACTTGTCACTGGGAGCGAAGGGTACTACAGAAATCCTGCTGGAACATGGAACTCCTCTCTCGCTTGCTCTCAAATGAGGGGTCTCTAAGTCGGTCATTATTTGTGCCACTATGTCAGACCACACATCAAATTGAGCTTTTAAGTGCTCTCAACTCTATCAGTTCTTGTACCAAATGCACCTCTTGCTTCTGTGAGGTTGTTTTGCTTTGTACTATATGAACCTGGCCAGCGCGGCCCAGGACATGTACCAAAAGCAGGAATTCAAATTAGCTGCGTTGCTCACATCCACATGCCAGCCACTCAGCATTTCTAGTTACCTGGCTATTTCACACTTGTTCACATCCAGGCCCCTCTTTGGCATGAACCCCATCCCTCTCTGCGGTTCTTTGCTGCTGAAGGTGTTGAGGTAGTGGACATACGGGGATTCATCGGTGATCTCAAAGTAGCGAATGCTGCTGTCACCCTACAGGGAACAAAAACAAAGGCGAATAAAAGGGACTGTGACGACTCCATGGCCCTGGGATCCCCTCTTGGCTATGGGATACTGTGCTTAACATGTGGGGAGGGGGCTCCCTTCCTAATGACGCACCATGTCCTTTACACAAAAAGCAGGCTGAAGTCTGCTATCGATCCCTCTCCCTGAAGAGAGAAGAAATGCATCATGCCAATACACAAGCAGCCTCCAGCCCACTGGCTGCCTCTATGCAGCCGTCAAACACAATGACAATACTAGGAACACAGTGCTGCCCTGGAACGGCAGCAGCCCAAAGCGGACGTGAATGAGGCAGTGCTGGAGATGCGGGCAGCCACAATGGAGGGGTTAACTGCAGGGACCAGTGGCGTTTCCATTACATGGGAGGCAAAGGGAATATCTCATAACAATCTGACCTTCAAAAAGCATCACATAAAAAGGAGAGAAGCATCAGAAACAATTGCCCCAAGAGTAATGTACATTTTATAGTTAATTTTCTCCAGCTGAAACTTTCACTGATCATCAGGCTAATGGCCTCATCTCAGCCAGCTCAATCACTATCAGTCTGCTGCTGCATTCAGATAGACCTATTAGCATGGCGATCGTAAAACAGATGTCCAGTGTAATCACGGTTCATTATCTCAACAGGCTTTCACAAGTGAGGGATACGGTCTGGATTTAGAAATCTAAGTGGTGTCATAATCTCAGCACAGGACTGGACACCAGGAACTTCCATGGTCCAGTTCCATCTCTACCACCCTCTGTAGCTTTGGGCAAGTAAGAATTAACCTCCCTGCCTCAGTTTCCTCATCAGCAGACTGGGAATAACTCTTGCCTTCCCTGCAAGCATGTAGAAGGGGATGATTGTTTGCACAGCACTTTGAAAGTGCCATGTATTTAACTATATAATATGGAGTCGTCATCTTGTAACAAGTATTGCATTGAAAAGGATGTGCAAAAGCATGCCATTTATAACATGCAGCATTGACAAGGAAGCATCTGGCACATGTTTGAGTCTGGCTGAAAGTACAGACTAATAAAAATGGGTCGATGGTCTGGAGATATCGGACAGGAGAGCTAGAAAACAATTACTCCTCATGAGTTCCAGGGGATTCTAGCTGTCTCTCTAAAGCAGCAGAAGAGGTAGTAAGAATGGAAAATGAGTCTCTCTTGTTAGCTGCTTATTATGAAAATGTTCTTCCATCTGCTTGTATGGATCCTTCTCGGTAATTGCTCGTTTACCTTGCTTATCTTTAAGCTGCGTGTTTGAAGGAAAACTGGAGCAGCAGTGGGCACTTTAGAGCACGTAACACCAACAGTAAATCACTTTCAGAAGCAACATGCACAATTCCAGTAACTGACCCATAAAACAAAGTTGGCTCTGTACACATTCAGGTGTCTGAAAGGGCAGTGAAGGTACCACCTGTGGGTGCCTTCATCCTATATTAATGCCAGGGGTCACTTGGGTCACCATCCAAAGGGGTGAGTCTGGCTGTAAGGCAAGTTTAACTTGTATTCTTCCCATACAGCTTTGTTTGGCCTAAGTAAACCCTGCCAAAATAAAAACTGCAGGGTTTTTATTAGGTGAGCATCCCTCAATCATATTTTAGGCTCCATGGGACTGTCGTAAAGTCTTATGGCATTGGAATAATCACGCCAAGTCCCAGATCCTTGCAGGTTCATCTGCAGCCTTGACAACTGCCGAGGTGCAACATTTTGTTTAACTTTCCAACCCGTGGTTTTTAAGAAACGCTTTTGCGCACAGTGAAGGACCTTGTGCGCTCCAGCTGAACGGAACGCCCTTCACCAGCAGCACCCAGTCACCAGCACCACAAGCAAACGGCTGCAACCACTTCACTCCTCTTGGAAGTTGCTCTTTACCTTGCCACACAGGTAAATGATATTGGTGTCTGGGTCATAGAATGGAAGCAGCACCCCATTGCTGGTGTCCATTTCGTGCAGGGCTATTGGCTCTTCCATATTTTTCTGCAAATGAGATTTGTATCAGATCATTAGAGAACGGAAACCCCCAGTAAATTCATTAGCTAAATCCTTTGAGATTCCTACTGTTTAGGGGAATGACCAACAGCAATTTCACTACTCTGAAGCGCCTGACGTTGTAGCACATACGGTCATTGTTTGAGAGTACACTGGTTTTCTGAGGACCTTCCATCAAAAGTTGTTTTTAACAGGCCCCCCCAAACACACACAAAGTTAAGGAAGAGATTAGACACACAATCATGGTACTAAGTCTATTGCACAGTCGAGGAAACAGACCACGTCACAGTTAGGTACCACACTACATTGGCACATGAAAGATTTTGGATGGAACTGGCCCTCTCGGAAGGCCTGCAGGATCTGCTTTTTGCTTTGGTCAGATTTACGTTTGGCTCAGCTGGCTTGTTCTAGGACATCACTCCTTTGCATATATTTTCCTGATCTGTTCAATAATAAATGCAGCTTTGAACATTTAGCTGCTGTTACGTCTTCACTGTTCCTGGGAAGACACAGTAGACTTCCTCCAAGGAGGTTATACGAGAGTAAATTTCCTTTACAGATACAATTTGGGGCCTAAACAGATTGGCGCTGTGCTCGGCTGTGACATGTAGGGGCAGGATGAGAGAGCTGAGAAGGGGAATATAATCTCACTAATAAAACGTAAAGTGTTGCAGTAATTAGCAGGCTGTCTTGGCCAGTAACTTATGACAGCATTATAACAAAGGACAAGCTGGATGGGCACATACAGGATTCCACAGGGCGAGCTGCCGTTCACTCATGCGGCTGAAGCCGGTGGTAAAGACATTGCCATCGGAGAGGAATATTGCTCTTATAGGCCGTGCTCCCTCGTGGGCCCTCTCCTTCTCCTGAAATGGATTTTCAGAGAACAAGATTCAGCACTAAACAGAAATCCGGACTCATGATGAATTAACCCAAATTCTATTTGTCGAGTTGCATGGAACCACTGCCCCAGGAAGCTGACCAGATGGGATACAGCCACCAGGTCCTTGCCCAAAGCTCCAGGTGAAAAAATAATTACTAATGTACAAGAGAAGCAGCATCCATTCAGTTGGTTTCTTTCAGCTACGCTTACCATGCAGAATCACATATACTAAAAGCAAGATTAAAACAAACTGATGTTTCAGCAAGCTACAGCACATGAAAATAGACAGCTATGCCACCAATCCTCCCTCTGCATCTACAAGTACCCAATTTTCCACACATTATTGTGGTACTATAATTGTGCCTGAAAATTACGTGTGAAATTACCCTTGTGCAGATTGAAAAACTGGGCCCAAAATGTTGATAATTCAAGCATAAATGCCAATAAAATTAGGTGGAGTACCTCATCACTGCTACCCTTCCTGTAACATTTCACCAGCTTTGCAAATATCTCACTCCGTTAAAGAAAACGCAAACGTTGAGTTTGTCTACATGCTTTTTTTTGCTAAGCATCCATTGCACTGACACTCCACTGATTTTAGCATACTCACAGCAACGATTTCTTGTTTCCTAGGGTCAATCACTCGGACTTTTTTGTCTTTAGAAGCTGTACAAATCAGGCTGCCGTTGCGATTCCAGCTCACATTGTAAATCATGTCCAGATGCATGTCATCCAGATTTATAAGGGCTTCACCTGTTCCCACATTCCAGATGATGACTATATTATCACAACCTAAAGGAGAACAGTAACCAGACCTTAGAGCCAACCCACATACAGAGCACACAGGCCGGTTTTCAGAGGGGTTTAAAACAAAGGATAGTTCTAAGGGCAGCCAGTTCTATTCTGAGGAAGAGGAAAAAACTTGATGTTCTGCTTCCATCATTACGAGACGAGGAACCCTAGTAACAGACCAAGACCCCATGATGCTAGCAACAAAAGCAGATTCTCCAGAGTAAAAAGAGACACACACCCCCACACACTTCATATGGTTTGCAGATGCACAGTCAGTATCAATCTGTGTAGCCATGCCATAGATAGAATATGCGGAAGCTCAGCTTCCATTTTAAGGGGGTATTTAAATCAAAGCTGCAAAGCAGGTTAGAGCCACCTGAACCCTCCAGGAATCACCACCTGGGCATGTTTAAAGATGCCCGTAAGCTTTGTGTTTGGGATGAAGAACATTTCTCAAGGTCAGTGGCATTAAGGATGTCCTGCAGAGGCCAGGAACAGAAGGTACAATGACTTAGTGCCTCCAGGCAGGTGCCTGATAAGGAGCATTGTACAATCTGTTCCCAGTGCTTGCAATGCAAGAACAAAACAGGAAGGATTCACAGGTGTAAGCAGCTTTCAGGAGAATTCACACAGAACCCTTCTTGTAGATTATTAGTGGACTGGGGATGAACATTTGATACAAATTAATGAGCAGAATTTGAAGACTTCCTGGGTAACCTGGGGGCAGAAGGTGGCTATTGAGAAGTTGGTGTCAGGCTGGAGGACACTTCCATTTGCTGCAACGATGACTATACAGGCTGACTGGGCGAAAGGCCGGCAGGGTTTGCTTTCTGCTGTGGTCAGATTTATGCTTAGCTCAGCTGGCTTGTTGCATGGTTCCAGCAAGGTCAAGGCTGCCTCTAACACCCAGGCATGGAAACTTTCCCCTTCTTAGACACAGGAAGTAAAAAGCCACTTCTTGGTATTTTATCTGCCACTTAGATTATTGTGCTCTGTTCTTCCCTTCCTGTGCTAGACCTTCAGCCGCCACACTTGGATAAAGAGAACAGCCCCAAAGGCTCTCCAAGATCCCTCCCCCGCCTCTGCTGGGACAGCTTTTTATCCCGCCCCATTCCCAGTTTCCATACGACCCAGGTTAGCAGTAAGGGGCTAGCAAGAATGAAGACTTTCGCACCGCAAAGCCGTTCCACACAGGCAATAATACTCAGCACAAACACAGCACTTGTCATCTTCAAACAGGGTGACCAGATGTCCTGATTTTATAGGGACAGTCCCAATATTTGGGGATTACCCCCCACACTCGGTCCTGATTTTTCATACTTGCTATCTTCAAAGCACTTCATAAGCCTCACACCCGGACACAAATGTGTCTCCCATCCAGTGGCCAGATCCCAGGTTTAGTGGGGGTGGATGTAGTGTTCTGAAACCTAGATTCCCACCTGGTTCTAATTAATCTGTGCCCTCCCAGCCTGTCTGCCCTGTGCTCATCCTGCTCTCCCCACCTCCTCCTGGCCTGGCATTCTGCCTCCTCCCGCAGCACCCTTCCTCTACTATAAACACTGCACGGCTAGAACAGCGGGGCCCTTTCCAGGCCCAGCTAGCCACTCCCTTTTCAAGCACTACGGACCCTGGATATCCCAACTGTGCCCCCTAATTCCCAGTGTGGCATTGCACTAAGAATCAGTATGTGGGCAGCAAATCAAGCCCAGAATGTCCTGAACACTTCAAATATGGCACCTGGGCAAAGCTCAGTCAGGGGAGAAGTTAAGACAGGCACCTTCAGAAACCATCCTCTCCCTCACTGATATGCATTCCCAACCCCCGAACCCAAGCAAGACATACAACCCTGGACCCAAACAGCCACACACTCCCTGTTCCCGCCTTCGAGATATACATGCCCCCTGCCCAGCTATCAAAATCCACCCAGCTCCCTCCCTCCTCTTCTGGAGCCACCCAAAATAGGTCCCAGATTTGTTTCATCACCAAATACATAGTCACACTAATATCCTCCCTGCTAGCTGGTCTCCAGTGCAGCCTGAACAGCTGGAAATGCCGGTTACACTGCTCCGCATGCCACACTGAACGGCGTAACACTGGGCTAGAGCAGCCATCCAGTGAAAGAAGAATCCGGTCCCTGGGACTCGCAGCTGCTTCTAGCAATGCCTCAGATCTCCTGGGATCCTGTCTCTTTAAAATTTCTCCAGTGCAGAGAATGATTGACACAGGAGTCGGCCAGCACTTCCTGGTCTGATCACACACTAAGAAGTAACTGAGGGAGGAAGCAGCAGAGGAGAGGGAAAACAGTGGCTGAAGCCAGCCTGGGGGCCAGCGAATCCTCAAGGATCTGGGCACCAAGGCTCCCCACGCCCCACCTGCAGAAAGCTGAGTTTCGCCAAGGCAAAGAGCGTGCCAGAAGAGGAACCCCCGGCTCCACCTCCTCCTCCCCAAGCCTGCAGAGAGGGGTCTGTGCCTCCATGGCTGTACAGCCTGCCTGGAGTTTGTATCTCAGCTGATGAGAAGCTGGAGCAGCGGGAAGGGAAGCAAAGCGGTCTGGCCCAGCCCGGGGTTGGTAGGGCAGAGAAAGGTGCCGTGGGAAAGATAATGGGAGAGACCCTCGGCTCGTACTGGCTACCAGGGAAAGGTACAGACTGACTCAGAACACCGGGTGCTGACTGAGAACTCCTGGGGCTCCGGATTACAGCAACCCAAGGGACTAGGGAGGGGGCCCCCAGCTGGGCAGAGAGACACGCAGCCATGGCTATATCATGAACTGTTACATGTGGGCTTTGGTTGCTTTTATTAAAAGGAAAGAGGAATCATCCTGCCCACTTTGTGACTGTACCGCTGCAGACTGCACCGGGCCAGGAGCCATCGCACAGAGAGCCTGGGTTCCAGAATAAGAGACCTGTGTAAGAAACCAAAGTGCGGAGGATTTTGCACACTGGTTTGGAATATGCTTTGCGGGAGTCGTGTGGCCTGGCAAGCAAAGGACTGGGAGCCAGCAATTTCTAACCTGTAACCCCAGCTGTGTTACCAAAGCACTCAGAGGCCTTGCAAACTGGCTAAGTATCGACACGTGACCTACCTCACTGGGGTGTCATGAGGACTAGCTCACATTTGTGAAGGGCGTGGATGAAAAGCACTAGGTAAGTGCTGAGAATTTCTTGAGGAGGAAAAAAAGCTTAAAAGACTCTGCCATTCTAGCCCGCAGAGATTTGGTTATTGCAGCAACTTCAGTTCACACAGTTTTGGACCCTCCAAGCTTTAGTTTCATTCAAATCCAAAACTGGAGACACATCTAAGTGACTTTTGCTCAGCTTTGCTGCATCACCTATGGGTGAGAGGGGTTTCATCCAACAGGGGGAGAGGGGACAAGTGGGTGGCACTGAACAGGAACTCAGCTACTCAGGAGACAACGGTCACGTAAGAGAAAGACGGAATCACTCCCTCTCTCTATGGGAGGAATAAGGAGAGGAGAGACGGTCCTGGAGTCAACTGGTCACATTTGATGCATTTGTTTCTTTGAGGCATTCTGAGGTTTAAGAGGTTTCACACTTGGGGTGCAGGGGTTTTAGCACATTGGTCGCACTTTGGACTTCTTTGTGTACTGAACTTCTCGAGAGGGGATGAAGCAGGAAGAGGAGGAGGTGGTTGTGAGGATAGAGGAAGAGGTTGGTAACGCAGGAGGACGAAGAGGTGCAGTGCCCACCCACACACACCATGGCAGAGGAGTGAGATTTTCTGAGGTGTGGGAGTACTTCCACATTGCCCCACCCCGGACTGGTCACCACCCCAGCCAATATGCTGCCTGCAGGCTGTGCGGCCGACAGGTCAGCCGTGGTCCAGGGCTCAACGTTGGGACCACCGCTCTGTGGAAACACCTGCGGAGCATGCACAGAGAGGAGCTGGAGAAGAGTGGGCACAGGCAGGTGAACCAATGCCCAGTGGCGCACTTGCCCGTGGTACAGCACCAGCCGGTTGCAGAGGGGGAATGGGCTCAGCTCATGGAGCAGATGGGGGCGCTGGCTCTGCGTGCCAGCCAGCGGGAGAGGGAAGTGGAGAAGAGGGAGAAGGCTGTGGAACGCAGGGCAAGGGCCGTGGAGCGGCGCGAGAGGGCCGTGGAGCGGCGCGAGAGGGCCGTGGAAGAGGAGGAGAGGTCTCTGACAGAGAGGGTGCTGAAGATGAAGGCTGAGGAGGTTCAGGTGCGGCTGAAAGGCACATGCGAGAGGGAGAGCGCCCTGGCCTCAGCTGCTGATCTCCCCATGCATTTTGTGTAGGAATACTTGGGCTTTAGGCCCATGTTGGGAGACTAAGATCAACACCCAGGCAGGTGACTAAAGCAATATTTTAAGACCTGGTATGAATGGTCTGGACTGTGTTCCAGGCCTCTGACCTGCAAAACAGAACCACCAATCTCCCTGATTCCCTTCAGCCTCCGACAGCCTCCTTCCGAAACAAAAGGCATGGCTCGTGTGTTCAAAGCTGGGTCCCAGTTTCTGACACTGGGGAACACAGAGCTCCACGAGGCACAAGCTGTCTCAACAAGGCCCCAACACAAGCAATGCTGCAGGTAGACTCAGCCAGTCATGGCCTGAGCAGGCCAACAATGCGGTCAGTCAAACCTTTGGTTATGAGACAAGTTTGAAACCAAACCGAAGTCTCAGAAGACATCTGCCTATGCAGAGAGGACACAGAGGATCTGATGACCCAGAAAAGATTCCAGTGAAACTCCGTTAGTTTCCATTACTAGGCTCAAAACTAACCTAGCCAAGTTTCGCACAAGTTTCAGGCTATGCAATAAAGTCCTCATGCCACTTTTACTGATATTGACTTGGACCACAAAAATATTTCTTCATCTTGTTTTCTTAGGCATGCCTGTCAAAGAATGTAATTGTAACAGAGGTTAAGAGAATCCCATTGGATGGATTGCGCAAATAAAGGGGACAGTAAGTACTGAAAATAGGAGTTTGTGAAAAGACTCTCCAAACACATGCAGGTACCATTCAGATGTACATGCAAGACTGTTTGGCTAGTCTCATACGGGATTTCGGCTTTGTCTACATGGGAAAGTTATATCCATTCAGCTAAATTGATATGGCATCCTTAAACCAAAATAAGCATCTTCCCAACAGGGCTGCAGATTTCACTACACCAGTACAATTCTCGTGCAGACAAGGCTTTTGGCCCAGGGTAGTCAATAGGTGGACCGTGGGCCAAATCCCATCCACCAGACGCTTTTCAGTGGACTGCGCAGGCTGAACCCGAGCCAACGCTGGAACCGCGTGGAGCCGTGTCCACTCCCCAGCGCAGGGTCCCCCAGCAGGGGGCTGGTGGCTGGCCTTGGCTGCGGGGCAGAGTGTTCCCCTGGGCGGTTGCTTGTGCAGCCTCAGCCCCACTGGCAGTGCAGGGATGGAGCCTGGGGGAAGGTGTGGAGGGGTGGGGCTGAGTGGAGACATTTAGGAAGGGATGTCTGCACCCCCATGGGCAGCCTAATGTCTTTCCACTATGCCCTGCCCCTCCAATCAGGAAGCGATGGAGTGCAACACGCTCATTCTGCAGCCCAAGCAGAGGGCAGCACTGTCTGGGCCCCAATTCAAATCCTTCTCTGCTCTTCCTGGAGATGGCGGGGTTGGCTGGGCCATGGAGTTGCAACTTATGGGCCTCGGGCCCTACCTGGCCACCCAGCTGATAAGTGCCTGAAGGGATCCTGCAGCATCCGCTTGTGCCTGGGCACCAAGCGCAGCACACCCCCCCACACACACACCCGGGCACTCCCCGGAGCCCCCCACCCCAGCCTTATCTCCTCCCCACCCCGTCCTTCAGGGCCAGTCCCCAGAGCCCTCTCCAGCCCCCCTCACCCCCCAACCAGCCTCTTTCCCTTCCCAGTCTGCCTCCAGTCACCCACTACGGCCACATCCTGGCCTCCCGATCCTCCCTGGGTCTGCTCTCTGGAGTTTCCTTGGTCCCTCCCACTTCCAGCCCCTCGGTTATTCCAGCCTCCAAAGGGGCATTTCACCGCTAGCTGGATCGTAGTCTAATAGCTTCACCTCCTGGCTTCGAGCTCAAAATTCACACCTTGCTTTGCTGCCCAGATCCCAGCCCATACCCATTCCCCTTCCACCTGCCCCCATCTCTGCCACTTGGCTCAGCTGGGGACACGGAGGAACGTTGGGGGGAGGGGAGGAAGCGGCAACACCAGGTGGCTCAGGCCAGCCCCCTGTATCCTGTTTTCAGTTTAGGGAAATAAGGTCACTCTGCGCTCTGGGCAGCGAGCTGGTGGCAATCAGGGGTGAAGGGAGGGGACCTGGGTAGGGGTCTGGACCTCGACTATACCTTAAACAAGAAATTTGGACCGTGACAAAAAATAATCGATTACCCCACCCTAGGTGCTGTCCACATGGGAACAAAACCACAGCAGCGACACATCTGAAGCAGGGTCCTGCCAGAACCTTACATGATCTCACTGTAGCTAGCTACAGCTGATTTTCAATACTGTTCTCACCAGCATGCAGAGGTACTTGCTTTCCTAGGTATCCCTGCTAGCAGACACCCAAGTTGCAGATCCAGTCCCCTACCAGGTTTCCATCATAGTTTATTCACATATAGTTGTACATTGCACTGAGTGTGAAAACAAACCACATCAAGCCTAACAGTATTTGAAAATTGTTGCCAACACTGTTGCAAACTTCTGCTAAAGTGGACAGGGACAAAGATGGAAGTGGACAGATGGAGGAGGCCTGTAATATGTAGGTTATAATCTTTGACACCTTTGCTTTGATACCCTGGATTATCAGTAAGATAAGATAACACCACCCCCATTTGTTATTTTCTGTTTGTATATGAGAAACTGACTTGGACAAGAGAAACGTTTACACTTTTGTTAAAAGCAAGTGTGTCTGTGTGTGGTTGGGGGGGAGGGCAGGGGTAGTGGGTGAATTGTTTGATAGCTGAACCTGAAATGGTCATTATACTTGCTTATCAATAAAGTCTGGAATGGTTTAAATACAACTGTTTCCTGCAGACAATTTCCTAGGTCTCATATCTGCAAATCAGAGACATCACGCACTCAGCACAGAGTGGGATAAGATGGTAACCCTCTGCATTTGCGGGGGGGGGGGGGGGGCAGTATTATTCTGTTTATACAGCACCTAGCACAATGGAGTCCATGACTGGGCTCCCAGGCCTTATGGTAATACAAGAACAGTATCGTGAGTGACCCAGTCCTAGAAACCAAAGGAACTCAGGCAAATGGTAACAGGGAAGGGTCATCCATTCCCCTCCAATTACCTGGTGTACGAACAAGCCGTAGGCGAGAGTCATTCATCCCCCCGCAATGCTTACACCTCCTACCTGCACTGAGCAGCACATTGCGCGCAGCTGGATGCCAAGCAACGATGCCAACTCTCTTTGAATGGCCTTCTAAAACCACCACAGGCTCCGTCAGGGAGAGGGCGAGTCCGTTCTCTGGGATCTGCCAGACCTGCAAAGGGGTAGGTAAAAATTATTACTGAAGGGCCGTCAACTTTAAAGGACACACCAGTCATTCCGTGTGTACTGTACCATTAACAGAAGTCCAAATTCACCCCTCTTGATCTGGGCTGGAAGGTAAGAAAGCGAGGGACTCATTCACGGTCCCAAATAAGTCTGTGCAATGACTGGGCTGCTTGGAACATAGCTCTGTAGATCAGTGTCTCGGGGGCATACAATTTGGCCAGCAATATTTTGAATCCACATCTCCCACATTTCCACGTCCAAGGAGACGCTTCATTTTAGACACACTCCTAAATAAGCGGATTCAAATAAATTCTCTTGCATCTCAAACTGCATCTGAATAAACTGATCCATTTCCTTACTGCATTTTGTTCTTGTTGGGAAGAACAGGCAGCCATTTTAGGATGGGGGTTCCCTAGTTTTAATAGAGGTGGCTATACTTGGATTAAGAATGTTCACAGGGGCTTCTATGTTAAAATTCAAGGTCTGGTTACACGGGGAGTGCAGTTCGGTGCTGGTGGAGGTTAGAGAGGTGCAGGTCAGTACCGTGTAAGCGTCTACACAAAGAGCTGCCGATTTACTCCACTTCCAATCTGCAGCACCACATTTGTGTGCTAGAGGTGTGGCAAGATGTCTCCAGGCAGCTGAAGAACTCAGTCTGAAGGAGGAAACAGCAGAGATCATGAAATCCCAAACATTAAAGATCATGTCTCTTTGAAATTTTAAGTGAGGAGGCGGGACGGGACATTTAATAAAGGTGGTTTCCGTGATTCATCGGTGTTTTGCATTTCTCAACCAAATCTGACCTACATGTAACAAAACAAACTATAACGGCCTACCAACAGATGGCAGCATAACCGCAAATTGCTTCAACTTTCTATTGTTTGTTTTTTTGGAAGGATTGATTAAGGATTGTCAGATTCTGCTCGCAATACTGAAGCAAGCTGTCAAAGTCAAGTCCACAGTCAGCCAGAATAAGATGTGATTCAAACAGATTTTGGAAATAAAATGGGGGTGGTAGATGCACACAGCGGGGCCAGCGTGGACGTTAGCACTAATCCCAATTTCTCCACTCCAACAGAGCATGGACACTAACAAAAAACAAAAACACACCCCCACAACTTTGAGACACAGATGTTCAAAGCAAATCAGATTACCTCAAAATAACCCACCCACCTCTAGTTTGGTTTGCATTTTTATGGGGGAAAAAATTCCACAGTGAATTTTAGAAAATCATTTGGTACTGGTCTGGAGAGCTCACGTATCAGGTATAAACAGGGGTTACCCACAGAAAATACCAGTGAAACAAATTAAAAAGCTACAGAAAACAAATTCTGAAACTGGGAGAACTATTGGGTGGGGGGGGAGACACATGCATTCCACAGCAGTCGTAGAGCACTGTAATCCTTTGCAAATTGCAAAACTACTGGTCTAATAATCCTGCTTGGTATTGCAAAACACAGGGAAAGCAAAAGGTCAGACGATGCTCTAGAGTGAACTGGCCAACTCATTCCAGTGCAGGGCGGGGAGTCTCTTCTGTGTGGGATGAAATCAGATGTGGGGCAAGTTAAGTAGCTTCCAGTTTGGTCACAGGATCTAGCCTGCTAAAACCCAGACATGAGACACATTGAGACATGGGACAATCGCCCAGAATGAGGCACACAAAGGAAAGCTTAAAATGTTGTGAGAGTCGTTGCTTTGACATCAGTTGTATTTTCTATCATCAGTTGCATTTCCTAGATTGGCATTTCTGCATCAGCTTTCAATACAGGAAGCGAAGCAGCACCAGGAAGTTTGCTGGTGAAGAACAGCAGGAGAGAGAAGGTTTTCTTGCACTAAAAGCACACACGAGAATAAGGATAGTTCCACCATTTTTCAGTGGTTGCTTTCCTTTTATACCCTTAAAGAGTATTAATAACTGGCTATTCACTCATGTTCCCTAAATTAGTGAACAAACTCAGTGAGTCAGTTTCTCGAAGTGACAGATTTATTACTACAAACATTTCAGAGATGAAAATTGTTATATATGGTTGTTGAAGTAAAGGAGTGAATCAGGAGGCCCGGGTTTTAAGTCCCAGCTCTGCCAATGACTGCATCATCTTGGGGAGATCACTATGTCTTTCTGTGCCTCAATTTCCCCATCTGGGACATGAGGAGACTATTTCCCTACTTCATGGGGGGAAGGGGGATTACTGTCCTATTTAGATTTTTGTACCATGCCCATCACCACAGGATCTGAGTGATTAATTCATTGTTTGAGGTGCTTGGATACTATGGTAATTAAAGGCCACAAAAACATTAACAGAACAACACTTGGGTCATTGGCATTTCTAGCGTGGTGCTTCCAGCTAAGCTATCTGGTGCCTCTAGTTAGAGCAAGAGCTCTGGTTTAAATTTTTTATTAAATTATTGACCATTGAATGTGTTAAACAATTTACCAAATCAACTTCTATGGGCCAATCCATGAAAACAACCTACCAGTTCACCTTATTTAAAAGGCTGCTCGCTTATGCTAGAATTAATTCCTCCCATCTGAGAAGAGCCATTTGATATCCTCTATAAGCCCTTCCATAATAAACATTTTCCAGCTGAATACAAAACCTGCAGTACATTACAGTCATTCACAAGGTTCTTAAGCATGAATATCTAAGTAGTTCCTCATTTGCTGGCAGAAGAGAATCATTCTTCAAAGGAAACATCCAACATATCTGCATAGCACAGCACTTTAAAGGAAGTCTCTCTGAAAGCAATTCAGAGAGGAGGAAATGATGGGAACTGCTCATCTCATTCTTCTGTCAGAGAGCAGGAAAGTGAAGGTAACTTACTAGAAAACAGAAGAGTACTTGTGGCATCTTAGAGACTAACGAATTTATTTAAACAATAGATCTGCATTGCAACAGATCTCAGATTGAGGTTCATTGTAAATCAGCACTATGCCAACACAGAATAAAGGATAGGCCCTACTCTGTAGAGTTTAGAGTCTCAGTATTAAAAAGGAGATACGTAATTCTGTGTGATTATTCACATGCCAATATGACCTAGATAGGCTTCATTTGCCACATGGCGGACTCGCAGGGAGTCTTAGCACAACATCCTAATAAGTATCAGTGATCAGAGGAGGGACTTAGGCTGGTCTTTGCCATTGATGCTCCTTTTCCAATATAGAATCTTAGAAATGTAAGGCTGGAAGGGACCTCGAGAAGTCATCAAGTAAACCTAGACCATCCCTGACAGGGGTATGTCCAACCTGTTATTAACCTCCAGTGATGGGGATTCCACAACCTCCCTTGGAAGCCTGTTCCCAAGCTTAACTACCCTGAATGTAAACCTCCTTGGCTGCAGATTAAGCTCATTACTTCTTTGTCCTACTTTCACTGGTCATGGAGAACAACTGATTACCATATTCTAAATAGCAGTTAACATCTGAAGAGCGTTAGCAGGTCCCCTTTCTGCCCTCTTTTCTCAAGACTAAACATGTCCAATTTTTTTTATCCTTTCCTCACAGGTCAAGTTTTCTAAACCTTTTATCATTTTTGGTGCTCTCCTCTGGAATCTCTCCAATTTGTCCACATCTTTCCTAGAGAGCGTGGCACCCAGAACTGGACACAGTACTTCTGCTGAGGCCTCACCAGGGCCAAGTAGAGTGGGACCTACTCTACCAACATCACCCTGTTGACTCAGATTCAATTTGTGATCCACTATAACCCCAGATCCTTTTCACCTAGCTACTTATTCCCCGTTTTGTAGTTGTGCCTTTGGTTTTTCCTTCCTCAGCGAAATACTTCGGATCTCTATTTACTGAATTTCATCTTCTTGATTTCAAACCAATTCTCCAATTTGTCACGGTCATTTTGAATTTTAATCCTGTCCTCCAATCCCTTGCAACACCTCCCAGCATGGTATCATCCACAAATTTTACAAGCATTCTGCCCACTCCATTGGCCAAGTTATTAAAGAAAATACTGACTAGGCCTGGACCTAGGACTGATCCCTGCAGAACCCCACTAGATAACCTCTCCCTGTTGCATCTGATGAAGTGAGCTGTAGCTCATGAAAGCTCATGCTCAAATAAATTGGTTAGTCTCTAAGGTGCCACAAGTCCTCCTGTTCTTTTTGCAGATACAGACTAACACGGTTGCTACTCTGAAACCTCCCAGTCTGACAGCAAACAATTGACAACTACTCCTTGAGCGTGGTCTTTCAACAAGTTCTGCAACCACCTTATAATAATTTCATCTAGACCACATTTCCTAGTTTACTAATGAGAATATCATGTGGGACTGTGTCAAAACTCTTATTAAAATTAAGATATATCATGTCTACTGCTTCTCCCTATCCACTAGGCTAGTAACTCTATCAAAGGAAGAAATTAAGGTTGGTTCGGCATGATTTGTTTTTGTATCATGGAGACACAGAAGAATGTTCTTCCAATATATTGAGGACCTATTTCTATAGACTAGAGACAGGCATGTGAATTTTTCCTGCTCTCATTTCTTTGCACCCAAAGCAAAGACACTAAGGGCTTGTCTACATTACCTGCTGGATCTGGATCGACGGGCAGCGATCGATCCAGCGGGGTTTGATTTATCGCGTCTAGTCGGGACACAATAAATCGACTGCCGAGCACACACTCATCAACTCCAGTACTCTACCAGGGCGAGAGGCGCAAGTGGAGTCGACCGGAGAGCGTCACCCGTCGACTTACTGCAGTGAAGACACCATAGTAAGTAGATCTAAGTACGCTGACTTCAGCTACATTATTCACATACTTAGATCGATTCCCCCCCCACGAGTAAATCAGGCCTAATTGTGTATGTTTACACAGGCTAGTGCATCCATCTTAATAAAGAAGGTCTTACAGGGATGAGCTGGCCTAAAGGTTTAGCATTTTCATACAAATTTTTGGTGGAAAATTTACACCTGGGGTAAGTACTTCAAATATTTCACTTAGATCAGATGTACAGCACCTTTTATCTGTGGCTCTCGAAG